TTCTGAACTTTTATAAAATGTTTCTCAGCCACTCTTTAAATAGATACCAAAACTTCTCCAGAAGTCCCATTCAGTGAAATCCTAGAAACACAATGATATTTTCTTGTAGCTGGTGTAAGGACAAGATTTTTACAAAACTGAAAACCTGATCCTCTACCCTTAAAAAATAAAACTGTGGCTTACATAATTGTGAAAAGGGACAGCAGGAAATAACCCTCCAAGAACCAACACTAATGCATCTTCTACCCAATTTTAACAGCATCGGTGGCTGGACACATGGATTCCCATCACACCTCTTTGAAAGAATGTCCCACTAGTCACACAGAATGCTGATAGATATTAACACCAAACTTTCTAAACAAAAATTTTTAAGTACCATTTTCATCTTTCCCTTAGTAAAAAATGAGACTGCTCAAACTTAAAAAGACCGGCCTCTCACATGGAATAGAATTTGTAGTTTTCAAAGCCCTTCCAACACCTAACTCATCTGACTCTGGCAGGAAAGAAGGCTGACATTTGCGGTGCTTTTTTTTTTTTTTTTTTTTTCATCTAAGGGAGGAAATAGGACTCTAAGATTAGGCTCTTTGAAGGGCAGAGAATAATCCAGTACTGAGGTTTACAAACCTTCCTCAAAAAGGGGTGAGTGTAAAAGGCAAAGCATTGCTCCAGAAAACTTTAGAGTGGGTTCTAAAAAGACTAAATCTCTGTATCCTCATTCCAGGAAGGCACGTGTGCCTAGAATTTAGGGAATGAAATATGACTCTGACAATTCAGTAATCTGTGAACCTGTCTGAATTTTCTTAAGAAGGCTGCTGCACTTTCTCCCCCCAGATCCAGAGCCTGCCTTAAATTTTAGTTATCAGTTCCTTGCCTTGGAGATTGCATCCAGCAAAAGCCAGGCAGCTGGTACTAGGACGACCTGGAGATCCTCCTTTGCACAGTCAGGAGTCTCACTTTGTGGGTGTCCCTGGCCTTCGACTTCCAGTTTTTCAGGGGACAAGCCGTCCTCTAAATCTGCCCCCTTCATACACACACACATACATACATACATACATACA